AGCTGCATAGACCTACGGGGTGTGTCGTGGATAGGGAAGGCTCGAAGACTGCCGACTAAAGGATCTGCAGGCGGACTGGAGGAAACGGGGCAGGTCGCGTGTACTTATTCCAGAGTGCTCTGCAAATGATAATCGCCAGGAAGGGTATAATTACGGCTAAAGTATGTGACATCACCGCAAGACCGTGGGTAGAGAAGAGGAACGTATCACGTACATCATATTGTGGGCCCGCTATATAAGGCTCCCACTGCGGTTGCTAGTCCAGGCTTAGTGCATGCAAGGCTCGATAGTGGCGGGAACTCCGACCCGTCCTATCAATGAAGTAATACATAGCGGCGGGAAAGGCAGGACCCTAGCTACTTCTCCTGAACCAAATACGGAATTTGCACGATCGACACCTGTGTAGCCAGTGACGGTGACCCAACATGAGCACGTATGACGGCCAAGATTGCGTGACTTGAGGCAAATATATTTCGTAAGGAGTCGAGCCGGGGCTTGCCAGGACATGGTATTCTTGTAATACGACATCTTGAGCTCGCTGGTGCGTTAGAACTTTGTGTGAGTGCGACACCTCTCGTGAAGATTGGTGCGATAAACTCACCATAAGCGGCTGTCAGGCACTTAATCTGCAAAGTGGAATTATCCCCACGAAGCGACATCAGCGCATGACACCTGACACGTATACATACTATCGGTGTCGAGACCACGGCAGTAAAGATCACGCCTGATTGCAATTCTCAGGCAGGTGAGAATGGCACAAACTTTATTTAGAGACGCCGCTCTTCCTACTGTCCGCGGCACGATTTCTCGCCCTGTTCGCATAAAGCGAAGCAAGACCTGTTTAAAATGTAAAGTCCTTGGCGCCGCGATGACTGTAAGAATGGAGCGTAGACAACATTATGACTGCACGAGTTTGTATCTCTTCACACGTGCAACTCTTGGATCAGCCGCTCTGCATTCTGAGAGCGAGGGCGAATGCTGCACTTGAAAGGTTCTGGATGGCTGTATTGATGGACTTGGTCACTAGCTGCATGAAGTGAACTCCTTTGCTCACCAGGTCATTCCCGTGCTAAACTTGATATCCGGGGGGATCTCGTTACCACGACTGTCCTTTGCCAGCGCGATGTCGAAGGCAGAGAGAATAGACACGATGACGATCCACACGTTTGCGTCAGCTAGGTGACGTCCGGGGCATATCCTAGAAGGTCCGTTATGAGTGAATAAGCAAATGAGACAAAGAAGCCAGCACGACCCCGCCGTATCTTACCTGCGCCCGAAACCGAAGACAGAGTTCACTGGAAGGGGCTCGCCGTTCTCGGAGAGGAAGCGCTCAGGATAAAAAGTCGATGCATTCTTGTAGGCCATCTCGTCCGTCGCGATAGCTCTGTACGTAATTGTATAGGGTTAGGGGTATAAGAGTCAGATACTGGAAAAAGGACTTACGTAGCATTGGAGATGATCGTGGCGCCTTTTGGAATGTACATGCCATTGTAAACGTCATCGGCCGTGGATGCATGAGGTATACCTAGTCAAGTCAGCACGGAATAAAAGTCGCATGATCAGAAAAGTAAAACGAACCTAGAGGCACTGTTGGGCACCATCTATGAATCGTTTTCATTCGGTGTCTAGTCCATGCTAAGGGAGATGATCGTACCTTGTCACCTCGTGCATAACGCAATCCACATAAGGCAAAGATTCACGATCTGGCCAGTCCGGTAAGCGTCCAGATCCTACGACCTTGTCTATCTCGGCCTGCGCCTTGCGCTGCGCATCAGGATGCATAAGCATGACCGCGATGAAGTTGCGGATTGTCGACCACGTCTGCTAGCCATCAGACCAGAGTATACGGACATAATTCCCGTCGCACGCACCGTCTCTGCCCCAGCTGTCGAAGGATGAGAAGCTGATAAACAAGATACCGTCCAACGCAGTAACGTACCTCCGTACATATGAGCAGCGGATACATTCCGAAGATTCAGTTCTTCGTCATTCATTTTACCCTCACGTTCTAGTTCTTCCAGCTGCATGGACAAAAAGCTCGGCTGAGCCGTTCCTGCTGCCTACGAGACATGATACAACAGGCAACAGAAGAGGAAATACATCGCTCACCATCTCGCGTCGAATCTCGTCCATTGGCAGAGTACGCGTCTTTCTGATAGTATTTCTGGCACCTGAAGGTAAACTTAGCAAGCAGGGTATTTTGGAGGCGTATAACCGGACAAACGTTGGGCGAAACGTTTGAAGCCTGCACCAGGGAACCAAGCGGGTATGTGTCGCACTAGAATCTGTGGTCAGGGGTGAACAGCTGGCTTGCGAGGCGTATCACACTTACATGCTGGGAAGAAGTCTACCAAGGGGAAATCTCCGGCTTCTGTAAGGATATCATTGATTTCTCCAGCAATACCGATATAGGGATCATCGTCAGAGACGACCCTGTGGCCATAAGCGATCTCCATGATGACTGCCGTGGAGAAGCTGACAAACGCGATGCATGAATACAATGCTACATGATCCCGACGCATAGGCGTACCGCCCAGTATGCTCCGTATGGCGTTCTGGATCCCGTAGCAGATTCTTCAGCAGCACATGGGTCTGGTAAAGCTGTATAGGTCGGAAGAGCAAACAGCCCTGACGAGTGAATGCCTGCTGGAAGATCTTGCGCTGATTGTGAAAGTCTTCGCCGTAAGGCTGAAAAGACATCATATCGTCCCAGCCGATTCTGGATAAGCGCAAGCTCAGCACGTGCTGAGCTTTATAGTCCAGACATATCGCAGATGTACGTACAAATTGTGCATCGGGAAGTGAGGGCGACTGCTGTAGATGGCACTCCTCTTCTCGAGGAGATCCGTTGCAGCGACTTGACTGCTGAGGACCACGAACTGCTTCCCCAGGATGTTGAAGTACATCACGTCCCCTGGAGCACTTTTAGTGAGTCAAGGCTGAGTGAAGACAGAGCCGCGACTTACCGTATTGTTTGGCCAGCTTCATCAGGCCAAGCTGTGGATTGTCTCGAGGAAAGACGCGAGCGTGGCCAATAAGCGGGTCGGCAGGGAGGCCTGGAGGAAGAGGGGCCGGCCTGGTACTCCTGTTCCACAAAATTTTGATTACAGGAAAAAGCAGGCAGAATAAGATGGCAAGAGTGTAGGACATGGCTGTCAGGGGACAGCAGGAATGGGGTTGAACTCCCAAACCAGCCTGAATCATACCCTAATATACTAACTCGCACCGCATTAGAAGGTTTAGCAGTTTGTTCTCTGATGCCCGTCATAGAAGGGGAAGACACCCCCAAACCCGCACGAAGCGATGTTGCGAGGGTCCTAACGGTGTTTACTGTCCGAGCGCTGTGCCGCTGTAGAGTATCTCACAGCACCGTATACTGTGTGCGAAGCACGGGCGCGAGTCTAAGCTTGATCAGGACATGCAAATCACCGCGCGACAGCAAGGGCTTACAACGGCTCCAGGATGCAATGAGGCTGATGCGCCCGCGCCATAAGGGTCTTCAGCCAGCGCCACATGCTGTTGATGTTTCAGTTAAGGTAAACCAGCGAGTGCTGAGCGCTGAGCGACGGCGACGGTCATGCGTGGATACCATGACGTACAGACACGCCTAGAAGATGAAGTGAAAAACCCGCGGGCGGGAATGTATTTTAAAGATACCAGAAAAAGGCCCAACTCGCTACCATCCACGCAACCAGTGCTATGTCGTCTTTTTCTTTTTCTTCTTTTTCTTCTCCGCCTGCTCTTCGTCCTCTGCGTCTTGTGCAGACTCCTTGTTTTCCTTCCGCTTGCGCTTCTTCTCGCTCTTCGCCCGCTCTTCCGCCTTTTGTGCCGTTTCGCGAGCTGCTGCTTCGTCGCCCAGCCGACCCAGGGCCTGGAAGGTGTCCTCTTCGTCGCTGTCTGCCTCTTCTTCCACGACCTCGGGAACCTCGACTGGCGGCCTGCGTTCTCGCACTTTCCGCTGAGTAGAATTCGAAGCAGTGGTGTACACAGAATGATCTGGTACGTGGTCGGGAGAGAAAGGATCAGATTGTATGGACCCAACGAGAGAGAGCATCCGGTTCGCGATCGTAAGACTGTAGGGAAAGCTCATGAGCAGAAACACGACGGCGATCTAAGCCATGACACACCCAGTCACAGTGAACTCCAGGTGTCCATTCTTGCCTCCAAGCTTGTCGCCCGTCAGCTTATGTACCCACCGCCCACTGCTCTCCGTCGTTTCCTCGAGTATCTCCGCATCTTCAGGGCTCTCGGAGGTCTGCTCCGCGCCAAACTCGGGGTCATCCTCTGCAGGACCATACTCGAATTCCCAGTTGTCAGTCGGTATGTGGTGCCGTGGTATTGAGACGTTGAATGTCCGGTGGACGAGGAGAGAGACGTGGTCTGGCGAGTAGAGGTTGACTTTGCCCACTGTACGCCGCGTTAAATATCATGTCTGATGCAAACGAGAATGCTTTGGACGGACCTAATTTTTGGCCCACATACGGACTCCATACGATCGCTTCAAAGCTGACATTGCAATTCGCGAACGGGCAGTCGGCCTTAATGGCCGCTTTCGAGTCAAGGAACCGGAGATTGTGGTGCGCAAGCACAACACCTTGCAGCGCAGGAATATATCTTCACACGGAACAAGCTGTTTCATTATTATTGTCTGCATGGGGCATATACATAGGCCCTCGTACCTCATCAGCATTGAGTCTAGCATCTCCTCTGCACCTGCTCGCAAGTTGTTCGCGAAAACAGGAGCTATTGAGAGCAGAAGTGATGCCTCGACAACTCGGAACTGAGAGTCCAGCACCTCCTTGCCCTTCCGCTTCTCCTTGTCTTTTGTCTTGTCCTTCTTTACCTTCTCCGTTTTTGAGCGTTTAGAAGACGACTCGTCCGCCATCGCTGCTGCGGCAGGCTTGCGCTTTTTTGTCTTGTGCTCTGATATTTGCGACATAGCAATATTATTCAAACAAGCAGAGCACAAGAAAATCAAGAAGCGGTGGAGGAGCACAAGCTGAATGCGGTGGGGGTCGAAAGTTGCGAGCCGAAATTTTGGTTTTGGACCGCGCGCGGGCGCATCAACTCTTGTCCGCTGCGTGCCGCGGGAACTCTCACATTCTTCCGACCTCCAGCTACTTACTCTGTCCATCCACACATCTCTTAGTCACATCCATGGTGCGTTCCGCGTTTATACAAATATTATGCCGTGGTACTGACTGCAAATAGTCTTCACCAAAAGTAATCGTACAAATTGCCATTGCTGGCGCACAAATACTGGGCAAGGCGTTCCTTGCGGCCGGAAGGCAGGCTGCCGCAAGTGCGTGTTTTACGCACTGTTCTGGTGGCTTCAGCTAACCAATCCTACTCTGTGTAGATGCAAAATACAGGCCAGAAGCTATCAGCGGCGACGTAGCAGGCATGCGGAACGCGACCTCAGGCTCATTCACCGACCGTCTGACGCGGGAGCATCTGATGACTTTGGACGAGGCTCGTCTCATTTTGAATGCGAAGAAAGAGGACCCTATGGAGACAGTACTACAGGTGCGCCCGTTCTCCTCTCTTTCTGCGCACATACGTACTAACACGCTGCCCCGCCAGCATTGCGAACACCTCTTCAAAGCGAACTCGCCACCTGCGGCGCCGCCAAAACCGCAGCCGGGCAAGAAGTCGACTTCACAGTACTGGTCACACTACCTCCAGTCCAAAATCGTACGTGCGCGTGAGCGGATAGAAGCGGAGACCAAGGCTGCGGAGGCTGAACACAGCGCACCAATACAAAACGCGGACGCGCCCCCGCCACCACCGCCATCGCAAAACCAGGGGTCGTGATACGGCGGAATACCTGGACTGCTTTCTTTGGTGATGTACTAGAACCGCTTTGCTTTGCTTTTCCCGCCACAAGTAATTGTATCCCCCATTCATCGGATAATTGCATACCTGACATTTGCGCACGTTCTGCCGAATACACAAGCTACCCTTCGAGACGAATACTGGGCGTGTCTGTCGAATGTGACGAGAGCATCCCCTGAGCACGACGGCGATGATGCTTCAGCTCCCGTTCAGGTGTTCCCCACGGAGTCCGCCGATGAACCCTGCCGTGTTTTGTGGCGGCCTTTCACGCCCTGCGCATCGAAGATCCACGTCCGGACAACCCCCCCAATACCATTGGCCATCTGCAATAGAAACCCTTGGGGAGCCATTACTCACGGGCGACACAGTCACCGTCCGAGAGCTCGCGTTCGTGAATGCTCTGCCCATGCACGCAACTACAAGCTCCTGCTGCAGGCCTTCATCCTCCTTGTTCTGGGCATCACGTTCGGTTTGTTCGGTGGTGCCGAGATTAATGGTGATATCGTCGACAGTGTACTCTGCCGGTAGGGATAACATGGCTTTATTTTGGCAAGCCGACTGAGAAACCGAAATATTCAGCTTGTATGACTTGAGCCCAATTCAACGGTGTACCCTGCAAGGTGAAGCACAGGATCGCCTTGAAAGTCTCATGCTCTCGGCCGTCTGGTATCTTATTTTTACAGCAATGCATTGGCAAGAGGCATCAACCTCCTCAAGTGACTGCAGTACCAATTTGACGCCATGCGGATGTCACGTACAGCTTGTTTTCCACATATCGGAACAGGTCAACGCGAGCCAGAGCCAGACTCACGACTAAATCTGCTCCGTCTACTAGCCAGCTCGCCAAGCAAGAAGTTATGTTCAACGAACTTGAAAGAAGACGTCCCATACAGGCCAACATCTGTGCGTATAGTGAGACTGGCCCTCTCTGAGATGATGAGGATCATAACTCGCAAAAGCAGCAATATCCTATCTGGAATCGACAGCCATCCCGGAGGGACTAATCCCTAAGAACCGCATAAATTTTAGCCCATCTAGGATATCAGCGCCTTCTCCTGCGAACAGATGCGCCCGACCTTGGCAAGCTTTAGATCCTAAAGTGTGCGAGTGTCGGACGTTACTGACTCGCCCATGCGGGAGGAACTACCAGCCTGCGTCGATGATGAAGGGACACGAGACGGCTCTGCGGCGACAAGCGAGAACGCCACGGTTTTGGGGCGCTCTGCACACATTCGTTAGCGCGATGACCTCGAGAAATAGTAGTGGCACACACTGTTTCCGTCTGTCCTCTGAGGGCTCGGAGAGCCGCGTTTCCTGACTCGCGTGCGCTTTGACGCTGCCGGCCCTTCTTCGTCGTCGACAGCCTGGACCGGCACATAGTCTGTGGTTTTGTTCTTCTCGCTTCCTTGGCAGCCCTTTTTGTTCACGGCGCAGGCAGTGCACTTTGAGCCACCAATGTGGAAAACACACTCCTTGCGGCCCGAGCTAATACAATATGTGCACTAGTCCAAGGGATGCCAGTGAATTTAGGTTGACATGCATGGCAACGGCACGTACCGTAGTGTCGCCTGTAAGACGGATGTCGTCTTCGCGTTCTCTCGCAAACTCGGCCATACGTTCCGCTTCTACGAGCTTACGGTGAGCAGTGATCTCGATATTGTGTGCAACGCCGCGTCCTCTACCACGCCCTCTACCACGCCCTCGACCGCGTCCTCGGCCCCGACCTTGACCTGCTACAGCCACCGAGCACACAGCAGAAGGTATGTCCTCCAGGTCAAGATCACGCTCTAATACCTGACTCGGGTTTCCACCGCGGGAGGTCGATGGTACTGCGGGAAGCGGTGGTGCTTCCTGTGCCTCCATTTCTTCCACGTCCTGTGGCGGTGATCTGTTTGCGTTTGCCACCTCCCCATCATGCGACGCGTGCGCCCCATCTCCCTCATCGGATACCCGCGGCTCTTCCCCTAGCACCACATTGTAAAGTTCATCATTATCCACCCCGAAGCCACGCAACTCAAGGGTCAGCGTGATCAGCCGCTGCGTGTCGTCTTCGAATTCGCCTGCGAGAGTACGTTCGCACAGCGAGTGTGCGGCGTCAAGTGTGAGCTTGCGTGTGAGGTCGCGCAATTGGTGCGTCATGAATCCCTGTGAATGCGCCGCTCGTCAGCCAGGTTAACGCAGTATGTCACCACTCTTCTCACTCTCCAGCGTATCCTATCACTGCCTGTCAGCTGAGGAAGCACAGAACTCCCAAGTCTACGCACCAAGTGGCCCCGTAGTTCGCGCATCCATTTTGCTTGCGCTTCAACCGCCCTTGCCGGCACATTAGGCATCTCTGCAATGAGCTGCGACACATGCTTCCAGGCAGCCACACGGAGCTTCTGCCGTTCCTGTGCAGCAGCCTCTTCTGAGCTGCGTTGTTGCTCCTGCTCTTCAGACAGTATCAAGGCGTAGAGGCGGGCCCTGGATGCGCCGCTTGTACTGCGGGAGCCCTTGTGTTCAGCCTTTCTGGAGGTGCTCATCGGAACTGGCCCTAATACGAGTGGACTAGGGAACTTTCAAGAAGGCATAGAGGACCGCCCTTAGACGTCTAAACACTTGTTCGGTGACTCGGCGCGCGGACTATTAGACGCCAAAATCCGGCGGGGCTCGGGATTTTGTAATTAGCGCTGCTGGGTACGCGCTATATCACCGTGACTCCAGCGGACACACCACGTGTTCGGTGATGGCGAGCTCAGCGCTCGCCCGAGGTGCGATTCCCGTCCCAAGGAGAAGATACATAAGTGAGAAATATTTGGGACAGCCAAACCTGCCATGGACTGCTGTACATAGCGCTGTAATGCCATTTATCCACATCGTCGTTAGCACTACAGTGCTTTTGCAGGCGAGATTACAACATAAAACAACATTGCAATTCATGCACCAGGTCTCAAAGCATATCGTGCGCAAGCTTGCGCCGCCCACCGCCAACCTCCGGTTGGCTGGGTGGGCAGCGCACCTGCGCACGCGGCGCGGCAAAGCAGGGCGCCAAATGGCGCGCGTCTATTAGGCTCCTGTCCAACCTCCTATCCTGCCACCTCGAATCCAAGATACCGATTCCAGGGGGAATCGCAAAGCACCTAAGTAGTAAGATCCCCTCTGTTCTTCCGCTCTCCTCCTTCTCCTCGGCGCTGCGT